TTTACCCCTGGGGCCAATGCGTGCCTGCAGCCGCTTATAGTTGGAGAAGATAGTGAATCCCGGCTGCCTTAGGCAGCTCGGACACCTGGAGCGGCCTGAGCTGCAGATCGGACGTGCTGGCCAAGAAGATAGGACAGTGCGCTGTATACCTCGCGAGGCATTGCTCTGACTATGCTAGATCATCGGGAGGCTGGGTCTACTTTGGAGACCTGGTGCAGGAACTAAAAGATGACGGTTTTACTTTCCAATCGTACGCCCTGGCCGCGCACAGCTTAGCTGCGGTGCCGCAAGGGATGGTCGAAGTTTTGGGAATCTTTCCCGATCATAGTCCCAGGATTATTGGAACAAAAATCCACGCAATGTGGGGGCGACACAAGAGGGGCTCATTGCAAGAAGAAGGCGGAAGGGAGATGCCGACAGCCATATTCTATAGGGCATGCCAGGGACATTCAACGTTCGCTGCCTCAATTGAAAGGATGTGCGTTCCATATGACCCTGGCCAAGTTAGGAGTCACGGCTCTCTCCTTTACATCGCAGACTTGCAAACATTTTTGGAATCTGCGAGTGGAAGTGTTCGCTTCCCGAAGAGCGACTCACTGCTCTGCCATGGCGCGGATTATGAATTGTTGCGATTGCTTCCGGCAAAGAATAGCCCAACAATGCTTGATCCCTCGGATATTCCTCCGTGGCTAAACCAGCGGAGATATGGACAGCCACTCGTTGCAAGAAGTCCAGTACCCATGAATAGCCCAGCTCAGGGAGGAGAGCCGCCATCGGTGGGGACTTGGCCCGCAGATGACACCCACCACCTATGGCCACATCTCCCCAATCGCCATGAGCTATGGGATCTCGTTCTTGTTTTTACCGGCAGAGTGCTCACTCGCTTCTCGCACCGGGCTTGCCCAGATGGGGCGCTAGTGTCTCGGGAAGTGCCGAGGTTCACTGACATCGATAAAGCCGTCTCCCTTGTGAGACAGGCAGATCAGATGCGCTGGACGGTACTCTTCAATCGCGAGTTGTCTTCATACGAGGTCACCTCCGACAATGGGTCGATTATTGCCTGGATTCGTACGGACGAGAGAATAATCATTGATTGGAACCACAGGCCAAGATTGTCGACCCAGATCCAGGATCGAATTATATCCATCCCTTGGAATGACGATGGGAGGTTCCTGTGTGGCCGATACCACTGGGTGAGGACAGGTTTTGCCAACTGTCCTGTTTGTAATTGTCCAGTCAAATACAAATGCAGGGTCACGCACGATTACATGGCCCAGACGTGGAACCGCAAAGTTATCCCTCAGTCCCTAGAGGCGAACGGCCTCTTCATAGCGGTGGATCATGAAGGGGGTCTATCATGGAATCGCCACGAATATATAAAGGCGCGTGCAAAGAGGCAAGCGAGAGCTTCTGCCAATGTCATGACAAACGTCAGCAACAACAATCAGCAGGAGCGAAGATGGGCCTCTGGACAGTTTGCTACAATGGCGGCCGCTGGCACGATATTTGGCATTAGCCAGCCTGGCAACTTTCCAGCTTGGGTCCCAGAAAACGCCGAGGCTCAGCCTCGGCGCGACATGCTCCTTTCTTTCAATATTTGAAGCCTTTGCTCAGAAGGTTCATATCGTGGCTTGACTATTCAGCCAGCAATGTAAACAGGCAAACCCCGCCTATTAATACCTGGTGGCTGAAATTGTGGGTAACTAAGTTTGACCAATGCGATCGCCCGAGATCCTGACCAGCCCTGGAGGCCTTTCATTGGCCTGACGAAGAGGATGACTTAGTCACTCCTCGGACTGGCTGGGAGAGATGGTTCCACAACATACTAGAACCAATGTCTTTGTTCCGACGCTTGCTACAATAGATGACGCGGTAACTATAGGTAGACCGTGGTTTGGCGCATTGGATGAAGAAAACGGGAACAAGGCCGGAGACAACAACAACCCTCCTGCGCGGTTACCGCTCGCCTGGGATATCAATTTTAGAGCGAGGCCCACTCGCAGTTCTCAGTCTGTTTCAAGACGGGTTAGCATGTGTCGGGGCCATCGTCGTATTATCCCAGTGTTGCGACATGCCACCAGCGAAGCCGCGATGGCACGCGAACAGTCACAAATGGATCTGGATCTCACAGCAATCGGCGGGCCTAAGGCCGCGCTGATAACTGACGGAAACATCGCTCTTGACCATTATGAGGGGCACGTATACATCACCGCGATGATCATTTGATCAAAATAAGGTTGTTCGGGAGAGAAGTTCGGGAAATCGCAGCCCATTGCGTAGTTGAACACACAGGCACAAACCCTACTAATCCCGGCAGGGTTGCCCTGACCGGAACGACAGAACACGTGATCCCGGAGATCATCCAGACCATAGTACATGACAGTTGGTTGGCACCTGTACAACACATGCAACTGGGCCTTCGGCCCGTAAGGATTTTTGCACTTGTTCGAGAAATAATCAGCTTCTTCATATCGGAAGATTACTTTATTGGTTACCCGGGGCGAATCATTCGTCCCGAAATGGCAAGCGCGGAAAATATTGCTTCGAAAAGACGGACCGACGAGTATGCCTTGGACTGTCGCATCCGCGCGGCTGCTCAAACGGACGACATAATCGAAAAGTCGGCCCACAAGATGGGCAGGAAAGTGCAGAGTGATGTCCGTTGCCACGGTGCTCTTATACAGGAAGCCATTTCTTGGCTCCAGGATAAATATCCTAACCCTGGTACTGAACTTCAGGACAAAGAGTATGGACCCTTCCGTACTGCGTGAGGAAAATATGGTGCCGCTGCAGCGACAGCTGCCAGGAGTTTAATGCAATTCGTGAGAGATCGTAGGAATAACAATCCAGACCACGACGGCGAAGCCGAGATCGTGGGGCCACGGGCGCCGGCTGGACCGAAGGCTAGACCTTTATCGCGTCCTCCGCTTCTTAGACCTGGCGTCTCAGACGCTCGGGTGCTTGAAGAAGCCACCGAATCCCCGCGTTCAGTCGCCGGCTCAGCCGTGACGACCAGGGAGACCCTCGGCATCCCAACATGAGGGATCGGTCGGATTCACGACGCGCGCGCGATGGGGCCATGGATGCTGCCGCCGGCGCGGCCACGGATGCTGCCAGCAGCGCTGCGGACAACAGCTACGAGTACGATCCGTCCAAGTCCTACCCGCGCTACGTGAACGGAGCCCACGCCGGGTACTACGTCCATCGGAACAGGATCACGTGGCTGCCCGACGTCGAGTGGTACACTCTGAATTACTGGCACGTGCTATCAACATGGGAGCACGACTTACGCTTCCCGCCAAAAGGGACATAATCGAAGAGGGACGCTGAAAAAGAAAGAGGGTGGTCCCGCACGCCTCGTGGCGTGGAGGTACAGACGGGAAGATCGGCGTCGTCAAACCCGCCGCCTCCGGCGCCGCCCAGAGAAGAGGACGAGCCCAGCCCGTGGCAGGACCTGAACTGAGTTTCGCCCGCGTGACTCAGTCGCGGCAGGCGCATGCAATACAATTCTATCCACGCGCGTAACACGTGTTGGACGCGGACACCTCTGCTGGTCGGCTAAGCCGGTCCAGCGGGGAGAATTTATTTATCATAATGGTGGGAAACGTCGAGCCTTTTCGGCCCTTGGCCCCCTGGCGGCCACCGTTGAGCTGTAAAAGCTTTTTCGGGTTGGCTCCGGTGGTTGTTCAAATGTACAGGCCGGGGGTGCTGTGACTGGATGGGCTCTACGCGGCCCGCCGCGGGGGGGGTGCATATGCTCCTCTCCGCCTCATATTAAATTAAAACATAAGTTAGTTTGCATGAATTGCACTGTCCGCTGGAACTAACAGCTGCGTTCCGCAGCTGTATGGATGCTCGAACAAACCAACCTTGGCTTGCAGGAGAGAAAAGGAGCGCGCCAGCCCTCGGCCGTCGTGCGTCGTCGGTCGTAGGCCAGCCGGCCTCCTCCCTTCGCATTCCTGATAGAGTAATCTTGCTTACCGGTACTTGCCTTATCAATGTCTCATCCCGTCCCCTCTCTCCCTGAGCGGAGTGAACATGAGATCTTAATTCCTTTGCCATCTTACTCCGATTCTCAGAGGAAAGACTGGATCCCCCCTTGCCCCTACAGCGCGTGCCCGCGGAAACGCGCACTGAGGGACCCTCCACAGGTCGCCCCCCACTCGTGACGGCTCTCTCTGGCAGGGCCGCTCCCAAGCTGACCCGAGAAGCTCGCATGCTGCGGGCCGCGGCGAACATACGAGAGGAACGGCTGGAGGAAGAGGACGCGGCAGAGGGGGGGGAACAGGAGGAAGCGGAGCGAGTTATTAGTAATATGCGGAGGAAGCGGAACGACGGAGGAGGGAGCAGGAGGAGGGAGAAGGAAAAGGGATGACGAGGAGCAGGAGGAGCAGGAGGTGGAGGTGGAGGAGAATGGCCTACATCGTCTGCGGATCTCCCGTGACGCGGAAATGCGGTCCGTGCTGCTGGGGATCGCCTCCGTTTGCTGAAGGGAGGCGAGCGCTGGGAGGTGCCACCAGGCCTTGACCGAGGGTTGCTGGAACGTTTTGCCTCATGCCCACATCGTCGGTTGGAGCACCCCTTCCAGGCCAGCAGTGTCTGTACTTATCTGCTGCACGGGTAGTTAATGCTAACTTTGACCCGAATGCTAACCTTAACCCTAATACGAACCCGCACCCTAGGCTAGATTGATGCTGAGATGCGGAAAACCAAGGCAATCGAATGTTCTGTATACAAGACCAGGTCAATTTCTCACTTCAGGTTTTATTGCAGGGTCAAGCGACAGGTGGTCAGCTGAAAGTAGCTGAGCGTGCAGCAAGCGTAGAGTGTTTGTGTATGGGCGTACCACTGGGAGCTCAGACTGCTAACTCTTCTCTTTTCTGCTTCGACCTCTGTGCTGACATGGTGACGTGCTCTTGCTAGTTCTTCGCAAGGGAATGCCATGGCCCCTGTAAGCAGGAACGCACACAGTGCGAGGGATTGGCGCGCGCCGACCGCAGCACGCGCGGTGGCGGATCCTTTGCCGGAGCCGGCGGGAGTGCCGGATCCGAAGTGGCATTTCTCGAATCAGCACGGTTTCTTGTACCAGGCCCAGGCGGTCCACAGGTGCATAGCGGCGGGTCTGAAGCAGTGCCCGCAGTACACGAAGGAAGAGTCCCTCCTGGTGATGTCGATTTTGGACGACATTGCTCAGGCTAAGCCTGTAGCGTGCGCCAAGCGACAGCGCGTACAAACGACACAGGTGATCGAAGAGGCCTACGGCGAGTCACCTCCGTCCTGCTTTTCTGGAGACTCCTATGCTGCCAAACGTCGGCCGAAGCTTGGCCCATGTGGAAATCCTTGGGGGAACGCTTGGGGGAGGAAGAGGGGGATGATGATGATGAGGAGGAAGAGTATGAGGAGGGGGAGGAGAAGAAGAGGAGGAAAGGGTGGGGCGATTTTGGGGACTGGGCCTGTAGGGCCGTCTTGGGCGTTCCAAAGTCCGCCAGCTCAAGTAGGCGAAAACCATTCAACGCCTTACGGTTTCAGCGATTTCTGCATCTTGGGGGCCCTCTTGGGGCCAAAACGTGTTGTAGCCGTACTGTGCCGTCCTGAAGCCATTTTGTCTATTTTGGAGGCCATTTTGGACCATCTTGGACGCCATAGAGGGTCACCTTGGCCGTCTTGGAGGCTCTTGGGGCCATCTTGGCCCTCTTGGAGGCAACCCGAGCCTTGCTGATGACGAACCTACCCACGGGCGTCGCAGCTGGCGGCTTGGCTCGAAGGCCCCTGGGAATTCGTTGGAGAGGCCAAGACGATCTGTGAAGACTTCGCGCGCCAACGCCCTTCCGCAAGCGGATCGAAGACGCCTACGGCGAGTGGACCTTGGAGCTGTCTGGGCCAGGCAAATCGTTTACAACCACCTCATGTGGGGCTTTCCGGGCCTTTCCGGGACCCTGGCGGGCTGGGCTGGAACCCCAGGGAGAGTTCTTTCGCAAAAAGAACCAAAACCAAAAGCGAAAGGGTTCAGCACGCCAGGCACCCATGTGATGAATCAACAGGGGGCGGCGGATCGAAGACGCCTACGGCGAATCACCGCTGTCCCCTGCCCCTTTGGAAGCGCCCATGTGGCCGACAGCTGGACTAGAGCTTGGCCAAACTATCGGGCCAGTTGTTCCCCGAGTCGGTTTGGAAAGCCTTCGGGGAACGCGTGGGGGAGCAATAAGAGGAGGATCAGGAGAGGGAGGAGGATGATGATTAGAATGAGGATGAGGATGAGGATGAGGATGAGGATGATGGGGAAGGAGGAGGAGGAGGACCAGGAGGAGGAGACTTCTTGGGAACCTTCTTGCGAGGCCTCTTGGGGGGCCTCTGCGGAGCTTCCTGGGGGCCTTTTGGAGGCCTCTGGGGAGCCTCCCCGGGCCTCTCGGGGGCTTCTTGGGAGCCTTTGGGGGCTTCTTGGGGGCCTCTTTGGCCGTCTTAGGGCGTTCCCGACCAGTCTGACACCGTCGGAAGCCGTCTTGGGGGCCGCTCTGAACCCACTTGGGGCTCTTTTGGGATGCTTCAGGGCCGTCTTGGAGAGTATCTTGGACGTCTTGGAGGTCTCCGTCTTGGGGGCCTCTTGGGCCGTTATGCGGCCATCTTGGAGGCCTCTTGGGCGACCTTGGGGGCCTCGTGGGCCGTCTTGGGCCGTCGGAAGGCCGACAAGGCGCAATGCCAAGATCTTTCGACAAGGGAAAATTATTTTCGCCTCTTCGGGCCTTCCTGGAGGAACTCTTGGAGGCCTCTTGGGCCGTCTGGGAGGCCTCTTAGGGGCCTCCTGGGCCGTCTTGGGCCATCTTGAGGCCATTTTGGGCCGTCTTGGGTGCATCTTGGGCCGTCTTGAAGGCATCTTGGGGCCATCTTGGCCGTTGGGGCCCTCTGGGGGCCGTCTTGGGGGCCTCTTGGGCCGTCATGGACCATTTTGGAGCGTGGGCGATCTTGGGGCGATTTTATGGGCCTCGTGGGCCGTCTCGAGCCGTCCGAATTCCGAAAAAGAGCAAATGCCCAACTCCGTGAAAGTCTAAAGAATATCGATGCTTTTTGATCTCTTCCAGTCCTCCTGGAGGACCTCTTGGGGGCCTCTTGGGCCGTCTGGGAGGCCTCTTGGGGGCCTCTTGGGCCGTCTTGGGCCATCTTGAGGCCATTTTAGGCCGTCTTGGGTGCATCTTGGGCCGTCTTGGAGGTATTTTTGGGCCATCTTAGCCGTCTTGGAGGCCATATTGGCCGTCTTGGAGGCCTCTTGGGGGGCCCTCTTGTGGCCGTTTTGGGGACCTCTTGGGCCGTGATGGGGCCATCTTGGAGGCCTCGTGGGCGATCTTGGGGCGATTTTATGGGCCTCGTGGGCCGTCTCGAGCCGTCCGAATGCCGAAAAAGAGCAAATGCCCAAATCCTTCAAACATCGTGGGAAAATCAATGATTTTCGCCTCTTCGGGCCTTCCTGGAGGACCTCTTGGAGGCCTCTTGGGCCGTATTGGCGGCCTCTTGGGGGCTTCTTGGTCCGTCCTAGGCCATCTTGAGGCCATCTTAGGCCGTCTTGAGAGGCATCTTGGGGCCATCTTAGCCGTCTTGGAGGCCATCTTAGCCGTCTTGGATGCATCTTGGAGGCCATCTTGGGCCGTGTTGGAGCTGTCTGGGCCAGGAAAATCGTTTGCAACCACCTCATGTGGGGCTTTCCGGGCCTTTCCGGGACCCTGGCGGGCTAGGCCCGAGCCCCAGGGAGAGTTCTTTTGGATAAAGAACCCAAACCCAAAGCGAAACGGTTCAGCACGCCATGCAAGCATGTGATGAATCAACAGGGGGCGGCGGATCGAAGACGCCTACGGCGAATCTCCGCCGCCCCCTGCCTTTTTGGAAGCGCCTATGTGGCCGAACGTTGAGGCCAGACCTGCCAAGCTATCGGACAATGTGTTGCCCGAATCGGTTTGGAAAGCCTTCGGGGAACACGTGGGCATCTTGAAGGTCATCTTGGCCGCCTGGAGACCATTTTGACCCTTTCGGGCCTTCTAGGAAGACGTCTTGGAGGGCTCTTAGGCCTCCTGGGCCGTCTTGGAGGCCTTCTTGGGGCCGTCTTGTGGGCCTCTTGGGCCGTTCTGGGGCCGTCTTGGAGGCCTCTTGGGAGATCTTTGGGCGATCTTTGGGGGCTCTTGGGCCGTCTCGGGCCGTCGGAAAGCCGAAACGAAGCATACCTCAAAATCCCTGAAAAACCCAAGAAGAATACATGTTTTTGGTCTTTTCTGGCCTTCCTGGAGGCCAGAAGCCGTTGGGGGGGGCCTTTCTGGGCCGACTTGGGGCCCTCTTGGGGTGCCCCAGGGCCGTCTTAGAGGCCATCTTGGGCGTATTGGAGGCCTCTTGGGCCGTCTTCTGGTCCTCTTGGGGCGGTCTTGGGGGCGTCTATGGCCGTCATGGGGCCATCTTGGAGGCCTCTTGGGCGATCTTGGGCCGATCTTGGGAGCCTCTTGGGCCGTCTTGGGCCGTCGGAAAGCCGAAAAGGCGCAAATGCCCCAATCCTTCAAAACCAACGGAAAATCAATGATTTTCGCCTCGTCGGGCCTTCCTGGAGGACCTCCTGGAGGCCTCTTGTGCCGTCTTGGAGGCATCTTGGGCCGTCTTGGAGGCCTCTTGCGGGCCTTTTGGGCGGTCTTAGTCCATATTGAGGCCATCTTGGGCCGTCTTGGAGGCATCCTGGGGCCATCTTAGCCGTCTTGGAGGCCATCTTGGCTGTCTTGGAGGCATCTTGGAGACCATGCTGGGTCATCTTGGCCGTCTTGGGACCATCTTGGGCCATCATGGGGCGGAACGGGCATTGACTTGAGCAGTTTCCGCGTGGCCGGCGGGACGGGCCGGAGACCCAGGGGGAGTGCTTTTGGAAAAAGAACCAAAACCAAAACGGAGAGGGTTCAGCACGCCAGGCACCCCTGCGATGAATCAACAGGGGGCGGCGGATCGAAGACGCCTACGGCAAATCACCGCCGCCCCCTGCCTTTTTGAAAGCGCCTATGTGGCCGAACGTTGAGGCCAGACCTGCCAAGCTATGGGACCATGTGTTCCCCGAATCGGTTTGGAAAGCCTTCGGGGATCACGTGGGCATCTTGAAGGTCATCTTGGCCGTCTGGAGGCCATTTTGACACTGTCGGGCCTTCTTGGAGGACGTCTTGGAGGGCTCTTGGGCCGTCTTGGAGGCCATCTTGAGCGTTTTGGAGCCCTCTTGGGCCGTCCTGGGGGCCTCTTGGGGCCGTCTTGGGCGATCTTTTGGGGCACTTGGGTCGTCTCGGGCCGTCGGAAGGCCGAAAAAAGCAAATGCCACAATCCTTCAAAAACTGTTGGGAAATCAATGACTTTGGCCTTTTCGGGCCTTCCTGGAGGCCCTCTTGGAGGCCTCTTGGGCCGTCTTGGGCCATCTTCAGGCTATCTTCGGCCGTCTTGGTGGGCTCCTGGTCCGTCTGACGCCGTCGGGAGCCGTCTTGGGGGCCTCTCTGGGCCGACTTGGGGCCCTCTTGGGGCGCTTCGGGGCCGTCTTGGAGGCCATCTTGGGCGTCTTGGAAGCCTGTTGGCCCGTCTTGGGGGCCTCTTGGGGCCGTCTTGGGTGCTTCTTGGGCCGTCATGGGGCCATCTTGGAGGCCTCTTGGGCGATCTTGGGGCGACCTTGGGGGCCTCTTGGGCCGTCTTGGGCCGACGGAAAGCCGAAAAGGCGCAAATACCAAAATCCTTCAAAATCCAACGGAAAATTAATGATTTTTGCCTCTTCGGGCCTTCCTGGAGGACCTCTTGGAGGCCCCTTGGGCCGTCTTGGAGGCCTCTTGCGGGCCTCTTGGGCCCATCTAAGGCCGTCTTGGGTGCATCTTGGGCCGTCTTGGAGGCATCCTGGGGCCATCTTAGCCGTTTTGGAGGCCATCTTGGAGGCATCTTGGAGGCTATCTTGGGCCATCTGGGCCGTTTTGGAGGCCATCTTGGGCGTCTTCGAGGCCTCTTGCGCCGTCTTGGGGCCCTCTTGGGGTCGTCTTGAGGGGCTTCTTGCGCCGTCGTGGGGCCATCTTGGAGGCCTCTTGGGCGATCTTGCGGCGACCTTGGGGGCCTCTTGGGCCGTCTTGGGCCGTCGGAAAGCCGAAAAGGCGCAAATGCGAAAATCCTTCAAAACCAACGGAAAATCAATAATTTTCGCCTCTTCGGGCCTTCCTGGA